ACACACACACATATATACATACACACAGTATGTAATATACACATACGTACACATAAACACCTATACTTATATAGAGATAGGTTAAAAATGAAAATTAGTATGACAATGAAGCTTTAATCCATTGCAGCAGTAATAATGATATTATTATAAACCCTAGCATATTAAAATTTCTTTCACATAATAATTTTCAGACTACTAGAAATTATGCAACATATATTTAATCTAAAAATAAAAAAGTTTCTCTCCTTTTTTCTTTTCTTGTGCTAACACAGCCTCAAATCTACAGCCTGAGCTAACGTCTCAGCCTCATTGTATGTGTGCAGAGAGGGCTTTCAATAGTGGAAAGTAGGGGCTCAGAGTGGGGCACGGAAGTGCACGCCTGTAACCTCAGCTGTCTGGGAGGTTGAGTCAGGAGGGTTTCAGTTCTAGCCCAGCACAAGTGACTTAGTGACTTAGTGAGATCCTGTCTCAAAATAAAAGACAAAGGATGAAGGTGTGAAGGTTCAATATGCAGTACCACAAAGAGGGTGGGGGCAGTCACAGGTTACCTCTGTCCAGAGTTCCTTCAAGAAACCTGGAGTTCACTAAGTTGAACTTCTAACACTGACAGCTAGTTTTCATCTGTTCCCAGTGACAGAGAGAAGAGCCTAGAGCAGATGTGTCCCATTTGAAACCACCACAGAGGAAGAATAGAAAGTGTCATTCACACTGTCATCTTGGGCACGGGGTAGTCTAGCATTGAAAACTCATCCAAAAAAGGAAAAGCTCTGAAAACTATCCTGTGAAATTCAAGTCATTCCAGCCCCTTAACAAAAGGGCAAGCTACTGAATGCATGAGAGAGACAGAGAGACAGAGAGACAGAGACAGAGAGAGTTGGAAGCTCTGTAAGTCAAAAAATCCTCTCCTTGGAGATGGTTAAAGCGCTTGCCTATCCCCCTCCAATTTCTACCCTTAACATATCAAGGCCAAGCAACACAAAGCAAATGTTCTCCTTCTAGCCACATTCATCTCTTAGCATGCTTACTTGATGACCTCTCTTCCCCTCCCTCAGAATGAAGAAGGCTGTTGGTATTTTGGATCAAAATTAGGCAATGTGATGTTTTGATGTTTTCCTGATGGCAGGAAACCCTGTCAGCATTGTGATACAGTGAGTCAGTCAGCAACAGAGACACTCCGTGGAATGATAAGAGTGCCACTAGCGTGACATTCTAGAACTTGATGGAAATCCAGGGCTTCTTTGTAAGAGTGATGTTTTCCCCAAGAAGTGCACACAGTCAAAAGAAACGATGAGTTGGCCCTTTGCCTATAAAATTGAGAAACAGATTAAAGAAATAGAGTGATATCTGAAGGTGGTGACAACATGAAAAAAAGAACACTTTCGCAAACTGCTGTTGGAAATGTACATTAAACACAACTGCTTTGTAGAGAAATCTGGCGAGAATGCATCAAAAACAAAGTTCCCTTGGTTTTAGAAATGGGCCTGGTGAAATAATCAGAGATGTGCACAACATTTCAAGAACAAGGATGCTTCTCACAGCAGCAGTTGCCAGACAGGAAGATGTACACAAGCTAAATGTTTGGCAGTAGAGAAATACTTGAAACGTCCATAAATATCTGCATACAAGGGGATGCTTACTAGTTGGTAAAAGTGACATTATAAAGTGGTTTTTTTTTTTTTTTGGTATGTGTCCAGCTCTGGATTTTCTCAAAAAGACACATAGGATTCCTGTCTGAACTAATTGCAACAGAGAGGCGACTGATTAAAAGGAAGGGTTGAATGACCAAGTTTAGGAGGAGAGGCTGCAAGGAGTGAGTGACAGGGACAGTCACGAAGCAGGAACTCAGATGGCCTTGCCACTCTTTCTTCCTCTCGCCTCTGCTTCTGCTCCTTCTCTCCACTCACATTCTCCCCGAGGAAAGAGTTTCTTCTTCCAAGCTTCAGTGCAGAAAATTCCAAGAAAGACTTGTTTGGTCTGGCTTGGATCACACACTTATTTCCTAGATCCACCATTGCTACCAAGTCTACACAACCTCTAATGATTAGTCAGTTTGGAGTCAGATATTGTTATAGATGGAATAGTTGTGTCTCCCAAAATTCATGTGTTGAAATCCTCAGCATTCAGTGTACTTTAGAATATGGGGTTGTTGGGCGGTGATGAAATCATGGGATTAATGTTCTTATAAAAGAGAACCCAGCTCACTAGCTGTCTTTCTACTATGTGAGAATACAAGGGGCAGTTGTCTATCTGCAGTCTAAAAAAGAGCCCTTATCAGTACTCAACCATGCCAGCACCATCGTCCTGGACTTCCAGCCTTCAGAACAAAGGAAAAACAAACTTCTGTTCTTTCTAAGCCACCTAGTCTGTGGCATTTTGTTATGGCAGTCTGAACAAAATACTAAATTGCTATAACAGAGTACTTAAAACCAAGTACTGACATGGATATCCACCCTGGACTGCTGTGGTCAGAGGGACATTTGGAATCCCCAAAAGAGGATTAGAGTGGATGATGTAGCAGTCAGGTCCACAGCAGAAACTGCTAGGACCCCTGGAACCAATCTGTGTCTGCCAGAACTTCAGTTGATAATAGCATTTTTCAGTACTTTCCACAATGGTTGGTTGTGTCTTGTTGTTAGGTTAAAGATCAACTTAGTCTTACCTTACTAACAGCAAAGGGATTCTTTTGTGACCACATGGCTGGGAAGTGCTCTGGGATAAAGTGAGTAGGGGTTAAACTCTTGCAGTTTTACATGACCACCTCCAGCCACACCTTTTATAGGGGACCAGACAGAATAAGGGCCTACAGGACTGACAGAAGACTCATATCCTCCACAAAACTTAGGACCCAAGAACTGGTTATGGAGAACAGTTTGACTATGATATTGAAATCTAGGAGAGCATCCCTAAGATACGCTGACTTCTGACTCACCGGAAAGTAGCCTGCATTATGTTTTCATTAGAGATGTCCCATTTGAACCATATACTTTAGAGAAAGAAAAAATAGACTATAACTCTTAGAACATGTTGTTACATAGTAAAATGCTCTAATTCATTTAGAGAATAGCCAGCAATGTTGCAGGAAGTATTTTGAATTAAACAATAATACTATGTTTATGGATTTTCTCTACATCATCTTAATTATACAGACATGGACATACATGGATTCTCCTCTATGGATACTAGGAATTTTGGGAGTTGGTTAGAAGACAGATTAAAAATGGACTCAGATTTTATTTAAGAAGAGAATAGGAGGTATGTAGGGATTTCTTGCTAGTGACAGTTTAAAAATAAATTTTAAAAAAAGTAACTTGCCAGGTATGGTAGCACACACCTGTAATTCCAGCATTGGGAGGCTGAGGCAGGAGAGTCGTTGAGAGTTTGAGGCCAGCCTGGGCTACAAAGTGAGCTCAAGTTCAATCTGAACTGCATAGCAAGACCCTGTCTCAAAAAAAAAAAAAAAAAAAAAAAAAAAAAAAATCACTTTAGTCACTCCATACTGTTCAACAATAGGCAAAATTCCACAGCTTATCTAAGTTCCTGATGTACCTAAGTCTCCCTTTTGAAAACCACCTTATGCATTCAATACCACTTCCCACATTATTTGGATAAGAGAACCACTTATCGCTCAGAAATTCTTTTCTAAATACAAATTTTGGTGAAACCCTAAGCGAATTCTGGGAAGATGGGAGAAACTGAACACTACACTGAGGTTGACTCACAGCTATTTTGCCTTAGGTGTGTGTTTCTACCCTGCTTTGTGTTTAGGCTCAAGAGTGTGGAAATCAAAAGGCCAAAAATTCTGAGGCTGTGGCTCTGCGCCTGATATCCACATCACCTCAGGAAACTGGGGATTTTGGCAACTGATTTTTTTTCCCCACCAACTTTTGCAGTTCCACAAAACTGCCTTCTTCCTCCAGAAATTAT